CCGGGGCCCGCGGCGGGGCCAGCGGCCCTGCCCCGGGGCGGAGGGGTGGGCGGCGGAGGCGTAGCAGAAGTTACCACAGTAATCTGTCACTGCTTGGAGGAGTCCCTCGGCCTGCAGCGGGACTTGCCCTCTTGGGATGATTTTCCATTGTTTCCAGAGCATCTGAGACTCGTTTCTTGGAGTGGAGCTGTGTACTGTTCTGTCGTGTGTGTGTGTGTGTTCGATCGGGAAACCAGAACATGTTCTTCACATTCCAATAAGCTTCGTTTTCGTAGCAAAATCTTTCTCTCCTTAAGCCTCTTTAAAATTGGTCTTGATTATTAGGATAAAATTTCACTGCAGTTGAAGATGGGTGGGACTAAGATTTGGTTGGGAATAACAATGCCATACTAATTTGGCTGTTGTGTCCATACTTTTGGCGATAATGTTGGTTATCTGTATAGCATTAAACTTAATTCTTTTACTTAAGTCCTTTTACTAATGGTGGATATGTTTTCAGGCACTTCTGTTTTCTTTTTTTAACTTAGTTGACACAATGACAGACTTTGAGAAGAACCTCCGTCGGGACATAATTTCTCAGCTGCATAATTTTGCTGCTGTTGGAGATGCAGCCAGACTGAAGGCATTGCTCAGTCATTCTCCGTCCCTTATCAATGCAGCTGCAGATAATGGCTGGACAGCCCTGATGTATGGTGCCAGAAATGGACACCTGGAGGTTGTGCAGATTCTTCTTGAAGAAGGGTAAGCTGTTTAGTAGATCCCATTGAAAAGCTCTAACTTGAATCCCCTTCTGCCCATTTCAACTTGATCTCAGAAAACTAAATTTACCTGACAGATAGTGGAAGAATTTTCAGGGTTAAAACTCAGGAAAATATACTCTGTGTCTGTTTATAACTGGATTCTGTTGTTGCATCATGCTTTCCATATTTGCTAAGAAACTCTAAAGTTATTGCCGTCTCTAAAATTATTCCTGTGATCTTCTGTCCTGTGATTGTCACTCCTCCCAGAGACCAACAGAATAGAGCAAAGTTCGTATCGCATTCCAAACGCTGCACTGAGTGTAAATTTGGTATATTTGATTGTTCCACTTAGACTTTTTCTCTAAACTTTATTTGTAATCCCCTTGCATCTGCGTTACAGTGCAGAATGGCTGTTAAGTAGGACATGACAAACACACCTTTACCAAAGTTACTGATTGATGAATTTCCATTTGTCTCTTATTTTTTGGACGACTCACTTCCTGATTGAGCTGTCATGTTATTTTCTTCAGTCAGTATGACATCAAGCATGTTCATTGCTTGTCAAACACTTGGTATCATATTTGTTGTATCTCTTCAAGTCAACTGTTGTACTTCTAGTTTTTCAAGACACTCAGAAAAGCAAAGAATGCTTCAAAGTTATCCTTGAGACCCCAAAGAAGATTATTCTGAAGCCTGAATAAAGTCAGGATCCAAATATTTCAAATGGAAAACATTTCAAAATGAAGGGTGAGAGTCAGGTGTTGCGGTTCAACTGAGCTCTACATTAATCAAGCCCAGTCTGTTCCTTTCTGCACCCCTCATTACAGAACTGAGCAAGTTTAGTTCATTCTGTGGTTATGAGTAATCTCGAGCATAGCATTCCACAGCGTCCAGTGATCATCCCACCCTTTTTTTCTTCAGTCCTACCCAGATGCTGTGCCCTCTGCTGGGACTCAGCATGGAGTGTCAGGTGAACCACTGTTTTGTACTGTAATCAGTACATTCCAGCAAGTAGAGGAGTATCTCAGTGCCAGATTTTGTGGATTGAAATCATCTGTGTATTGAGGAATCTTTTGGGATTTTGGGGAATTTACCAGTTTGGTAAATAAGACAACAGTTTAAAAGTTACGCTTATTGGAAAAAAAGAGTGAATATCCACTTGTAAATGTCCTTTTCAGGCCCCTTCTCATAGGCAATTGAATGTAGTTCCTGAGGTGATACCGTGCCTTATTCGTCTCATTTTAGTGATGCTTTATCATAATAATAATTTGGACAAACACAGTTGCCAGATATGTAAACATGAATGTCTATGAAGGTAATATTACATAACATTCCAGAGGCTAATCCTGGAAAACTAATAATTTTTTTTTTTTGTATATTCATCTATGTTTAAGAAAGCTACAGGAAGTTTGTAGACTGGAAAAAAGATCTTGGTGATCTGAAGAGTTCAGGTCACTGTTGTGGACACTGCCTGATCAGAGTCTGCTCGTACCTGAGCAGATAGAAGGTGGAAGACAAAATCAGAACAAAATTCAGTGACTGAGAGATAGGAAATTTAAGTAGGAACTTAAGCAAGATTTTGTCTAAAGGAGACATAATCTTTAAAGATAAATGGGCAACGGTAGTTTCTTTTGCACCAAAAAACTTAGTAAATTAAGTTTTGAATGCTTGTCTAAAATGTATTCAAACTCCCTCAAAAACTATTGAGGTTAATATAAAATCTCAAGTCAGAACAGTCTTGCCTGTGGTACACTTAACCTGCGTGTCAGCAACATGAATATACTGGCATCTTCTGTTTTTAAAAAACGGATGCGTCTGGCCCCACATCTACTCTATAATTTGTAGTTTACAGTGAAATTTCTGTTTCACTTACCCACTTGAGTTAAAATTGACAAAAAGTAAAAGTGCATTATTTTTGACCTCCTGATCAACCCCAATCTATTTCAGATTTTTTTTTTTTTTTTTAGTATTTAAATATATATCATGAGGCAATGTTTCCTCATCTGTGTCATTTTGCAGACATTTTGGTAACAAAGAGATCCCTACAGGAACCAGCACCACAGTTGTAAGGGTGCCACTTCTCTCACTAAGCAGGGGCTGTATTCTTGATTCTTATTTAATGGTAAATATTTTCTTGTAAATGTTTTGATGCTGCTTTCAGTAGCTTCTAGAAAGTAATGCTAGTTAAACTGCCATTTTTTTTTAATTACTGGTTATTCAGAAGAGACCATAGCCTGGCTTTCAGAGTTCTATCTATAAATGGTCTTGATCCTTTTTTGCATGATGCATTGTGTGGGATTTTAATTCATAGCTGTTGTAGTACTGCATGAACCTTGGTAAGTGATATCTGGAGTGGATCAGCAAAAATGGGGGATCTGGGCTTAGCAAAAAATAATGAAGTATGATTGCTTTTCATTACCGTAATGCTAAGTTTTTAGCCTAAAGAGTGCCCCAGTATAGACAGAGTGTCCAAAAGTTCTTGCGCTTTAATAGTATCAGATGTATATGCTATAAGTAAGAATAATACAGCATCAGGACTCTTCCTAAGCATATTAATCCCGGTAACCACTGTTATTTTCTGTTTCTGTAGGTGTGACAGGTCTATCGTTAATAAATCAAGGCAGACAGCTCTGGACATTGCGAAATTTTGGGGGTATAAACACATAGCTAATTTGTTGGCTAATGTGAAGGCTGGGCAGAGGCCTAATTTTCTGTCAAATGAAGTGAAAGAATGTGAAAATTATTTTGGCTTGACACTTCTGGACAGAAGGAGTGATAAAAGGACAGATTCCAAGTGGCTAAGCAAAAAACAAAGCCATCCAACTACAGTATACATCCTTTTCTCAAATCTAAGTCCTTTGGTTACTTTGGGTGGGGGAATAGAGAGCTCCCAGCAACCAGAAGTAAAGCTTTGCAGGCTGTACCACAAGGATGTGGAGCAGTGCATGAACCAGACTGAAGAAGGCACCTTAATTTTTCTTGGAGTTGAACTTCAGTTCCACATGAGCCTGCTGGCTGCTTGCAAGGGAAGAGTTCTGCAAGAAGATGAAGAGGATGGGTTAGTTGCTTGGTTTGCTCTTAGTGTAGATTCTGCTTCTGCTGAGAAATTTAAACAGACGCATGAGGACTGTTACTTTCTTCACCCACCAATGCCAGCACTACTGCAGCTACCTGAAAAAGAAGCTGGTAAGATGCATAAAATGCAGCAGTTATCAAATGTGTAATCAGAAAGATGCGCTTTGGGATTCACTGAGGTATAATGCAAGGACAAACCACTGCAAAGGAATCAGGTATTTTCAGTGGCTTTAGAAATATTTTAATTTTAAAAGCCTGTCAGTGGTTTTGTGAAGAATTTTGTATGTAAGAACATGTGCAGTTGCAAGGTGCTAGCATCTGCAATGGCAAGAACTAGACTTTAAAATCAACTGATCATCATGGTTTTATAAATGGTACTATTTAAATATTAATGCATGCACATTAATGTTCTCAAATGAAGAAGAAAAATCTGTCATTACTGAGTTTTCATTACAAGAAATGAAATTAAGTCCTTTAATAAGAGTGTGTTGGATACTTATCTGAGAAGGAAATAGTGTGAGCAAGTGTTGGAAAGTCAGGATGTCAAAAGTGAATGAATGTCATTATGGACATGTTGTTAACCACTGCTGTTGTAACAGTTTTGCTTTTACAGAAGGATAAAGGGCAAGCTTGACTTGCACCTGAAGTTTAAATGGAACAATGCATTATTATGTCAATACCTGTAGTAGCCCTAAAATGGTCATCCAGAAAAGGTGTGATATATAATTGTGGCGCTTTGCCCAGAAAAAGTAACTTTTCTGAGAAATGGGGTATATTGATCCAGATGAATTTGTTTCTGAACACATAAATTGGTCTGTAGCTGCATAGTACTGTGCTCTATTGCATGTGCTGTGCTACAAAGAAGAAGATCTGAATAACTCATATTCCTCAACTTCTGTTGTAGTGCATTACAATTCAAGCCATAGTCTTACTTTGATTTTTACGTTAAACTTTACTGCTTGCTTTTTCTATACTATTAAAAGCTTCCATGAATTAGTATTTGATTTTGTGTATTTTCAATGTGTTCTTTTAAAGGAGTAGTAGCCCAGGCTAGATCTGTTCTAGCATGGCACAATCGCTACCGTTTCTGCCCAACATGTGGGAGTGCAACCAAGATTGAAGAAGGGGGTTACAAGAAAACTTGCTTAAAGGAAGATTGTCCCAGTCTCCAAGGTGTTCACAACACATCATATCCAAGAGTTGGTGAGAATATTGTAGGGTAAACTTGGTCAAAAGCAACTTGTTTGTACTATTATATACAAGTAAATCAATTACTTTTTAGTTATTTCAGCTGCTTGCTTCTGTCCCAGGTCTTACATACTTGTCTCTCCCCAGACTATGTGTGTCTCAGCTCTGTTTAGGATTAAGTAGTTCAGGCTTCTCTTTCTTGCAGTAGTCTGTGACAATTAATTGCTGTAACAATACCAGTCTTTATTGTAGTGGAGTAATAAGAGTTAGAAGTTCCAAGAACATAAATGTGATATTAACAATACAAAGTGTCACATATTAATTTTTTTTTCCCTGCATGTTGTTTTCTCACCTTCTGCAAGCCCTCTGAGCTTGAAATAGCTCTGTATCAAATTTGGCCCTGTATCAAATTTCTGATACAGTGCTCATTCTCCTGTAGTGCCACTTTGACTGTATTAGCCATCTTTACTGGCTTTCACTATTCATTGTCAGTTGCAAACTGCCAGGCCTATTTCTACTCGGAATATAAGTTGTATAGACAGTCTTCTATAGCTCCTTTTGTTTATGTGTTGCAAGGGAAGTGTACTATGTTATTGATGGGGAAACAAGGAAGGACAAAAAACTTACCCTTTTTTCCCTGGATCATTTGGTGACTCTTTGATCACCTTTCCTTCCCCTACCCTGTCCTCTTGTCCACAGTTGTAGTTCTGGATGTTGTATGTGTGTTGTATTTCTGAATTCCATGTTCTCTTACATGGTCTAGGTACATCTTAGTAGTAATCAGAGCAATTCTGCCATATTCTTCTGTCTTATGGACTATAGTGAAGCTTGTTAAAATACTAGTGGCTGTTTCTTTACAGTCTCTAGCACAACAAACTTAGAGAAGGAATGGGATTATATAGGAAAGGCTGCTGACCCAGCATTTTCTACTGATGTCTTTCTCTGAAGAAACTTTACAGACAGCAACACTGCATATTCTACACTTACATGTGGCAGGTATCTCTGAGCAGGACAAGTGTCTTTGAAATTATTGATCATAGTGGTTGCTGAATCAAGCCTTTTCATACAGAGAAAATACTGGTGTTATGGACAAAAAACCATGAAAAACAATAGCAAGAGAAAAAATATATAAAGGCCAAGGTAAATAGAGGTAGATAGAAAAAATTAAAAACAAAACATTAAGATAATCAAGAGCTAGATAACAATAAAAAAGGGAAAGAAAAAAAAAGAAAGAGATCATAGATGAATAGTGTGCAGAAAGGCATGACAGAAAGAATGAGACCAATAGGAGAAAATATTAAGCAAGAAAGAAAAAAATACATAAAATGACCAGAAGGGCAAAAATAACTAGAAGTGCAACATCAGATGAGAGATTTATAGTGAGTAGTCAAAAATGGAAAGTTTAGTTAGTGTTTACATTCTAACTAGAGCATTTGGCTCTTCCTTGGTATTTCAGTCAAAAGTACATTCTTCAGACCTGTATGTGTAGCAGAGGGGATAGTAAATTGTTTTTGCTGCAGAAAGTATTGCTGTCTGCTGGATATATAGCTAGGTTAGTATTTCTGATACTCTTAACAGATTGTGTGTTTTAGTTGTAGGTAATTTATGTCCTGCGTTTCAAGCCTTAGCTAGTAAACTGCTTCTACTAAGTGTGTATGCTGCAAAACAAAATAAACAGGTATCTTGCAGGAAAAAAGAAACAAAGTGAAATAAAATAATAGCTTGGTCTGGGCATCAACAGAATTCTGATTTCAGTCACCTAAAAGGTATCTTATTTGTATTTACATGTGTTGGTATTGAATAGGCTGAAATTTATTACTGTTTTTGAGTCCCTCAAATGTTGAAATATATTCCTTTCATGTCCCTTACAGATCCTGTTGTGATAATGCAAGTCATCCATCCAGATGGGAACCACTGCCTTTTAGGTAGGCAGAAGAGGTTTCCCCCAGGAATGTTTACCTGTCTTGCTGGATTTGTAGAACCTGGTGAGTAATTTAATTTGCACTTACCAAATGGTTTTTCTCACATATCAGTATTGTACATTCAAAATAATGGAGAAATATGTTTGGTGTTATGTCAAATAAATGTTTTTGCTTCCTGTTAGATAAGTTATTATAATAAATATGCCTGTTCTGTACTTTCTAGCAGCTGATTTATAAAAAAGGCAAAAGGCAACACCAGTAAATATAATTTAAAAATGGTTTTCTCATCATGCAGTTTTAAATCACATATTTAAGGGAAAACCCATTTTAAAACACATATAAGGTCCTTTCTTTGGTGATACTTAGAAAGGGATTTTAGCACAGGAAAAATGAGAATTGAAGTGTAACTTAAAGTTAACATAAAGTTAAGCATATGCTTACATGTTTAGGGCCTGGTTGCTTATATGGAAGATAAGCAGAAATTGTACAATTTCAAAAGAGAAGTAAAGAGATATTTTGCTAGCTCTGTTCACCAATAATAGTTGGAGTTAGCTACAATTATTAGTAGCTGCAGAACAATTTGTAAAACGTTCTTATATTGGGAATACATCTTAATCACCAGTGAAATTTTAGTGTGTAACTATTTTCAGGAACTGTGTGCAGGTGAAATACAGTGACAGCATGAATGAGTTTATTCAGGTATCATTTGAAAAAAGTCAAGATGTTTATTTCTTCACTTTCTTTCTTCTGCCAGCCATATTACTTTCTGATACTGAATTCAGGTATATAAACTGAAATTTAAGAGTAGCTGATCTTATCATCAGCTTCTAGTCAGCTGAACATAGCTGAACTAAAACTTCTATCTCTGATGCATGGACTGTCTGCTTTAATGAACCTGTAATCAGTGGTTACAACACAGTACATGTACGCATATGTAAGCCTATGTCCATCAACACTCCACATATGCATCTAGCAGTTTTCCATGAATATGAAAGTAAAGCTTTCCATTGCAGTTTAAGGTTGGAGAGTTGTCTGTATGTGTTAAGACAATGAAGAATGAGTCAGGCAAAGTGAATAATACAGTGCAGAAATGTGTGCAAGTCTTTCTAAGTCTCTATTTTCTTACTATTGTCATTTTAAATATTGATTTTCAGGTTGTATTGCATGCTGTTGCAATCATACTGAAAATCTAAAAATTAACACAATGCTATTTATAATAATGATAAATTATCATTTCAGGAAATAAACACTATGATAGAGAAATCATACTTTATTTTCAAAGTTCCATTTTGCTTTAGTGGCTAGTTTTACCGTATTAGAATTCTGTATCTTGTATTTAAGGTCTGTGTCCTGATCTGTGAACTAGATCTTTGTAGATAATTGTCTGGGGCAGCTTCAAATCTTTTGAGTCAGTTCAAAGCACAGGATGTAATCGTTGCTTGGAGTATTTTCATCAGCTGGTTGTTCTTTGCCCTTTTTGATTAGGCGAAACAATAGAAGATGCTGTTAGAAGAGAAGTAGAAGAGGAGGCTGGAGTCAAAGTTGGCCATGTTCAGTATGTCTCTTGTCAGCCATGGCCAATGCCCTCCTCGCTAATGATTGGCTGCTTAGCTGTTGCGGTGTCTACAGAAATTAAAGTTGACAAGAATGAAATAGAGGATGCCCGCTGGTTCACTAGAGAACAGGTAAAGTTCAATTTAATTTCCTTCTTGTATTGATTAGCCTGTGACTGTATTGGTTCTGGCATCCAATAGATACTTGCTTTTTTCAGAAAGTTGAATGAGCATGTATACTCTCCATTTTATCATACTGCAGTTGCATTATATTGTAATTGTAGATTACACACAACCAGAGAAAGGCAGATATTCACAATAATTTCTGAGTCACTTGCAAGCGCATTTTATGACATTTTTTCCAGTTAGCTCTTCACATTTTCCTTTTGGGAGATATCCAAATTATTGTTATTTTAACCCACTTTCTTATTAAGCCTGTGCTTTTCATTTTTGCAGAAGTAGTATTTAATAGCATTCATCATGTGAGTTTCTCCAAACAAGCATGCTACCAGATTTGCTGGGAGAGGGGAGGTTTGGGTAAAAACTCTGGGAATTCATTAGTTGGACCATCATTTTCCATGCAGTACTATTTTAATACTCTGGTATTGAGTGCAGTTTACTATGCATTAATAAGAAATTCTACCCTTAGCTTTCCTGAGTATTTAAAATATAGTCAAATAAAAAAGAGAAAAAAAAAAGACTTTCACAAAAAGAGAGGTTTAAGTTCATGGGTGAAAAAAGGAAAGATTGCTTGCATAATGTAGTCTTCACAGGTTTTTCCACAGGCTACTTATGAGCTAACCTTTCAATAACACTGTACTTCTGCCTAGCAAGTGCAAGTCAACTCTGTAAGTCAATTTGAAGGCAAAGTTAGTCACCTACAATCTCAGTGTATTCCTGACAACATTGAGAGTGTTAGTTTGAATGAATATCAGTTCTGAATACAGCTAGTCACATGCAGCTTGGTCTAGAGTTGGAAATAAATACACTTCAGAAATGTACTAAACTAAAAGTGTACTCCCATGTTTCTTGCAACTGCTTCAGAAAACCAACAACACACTTCTCCACCTGCACTACATGTGGAAAAAAAAAAAAATAATTTATGGAACAGTATAGAGCACCATCTGGTGGTCCTTACCATAAAGAGGCTTCACAAAAACCTTAAATATTATATTAACAGTCAATCTCCACAGTTGCATTAGAAAGAAAGTATCCTTTGGGGCACATATGAGCTCAAAAATGTCAGAATTCACACAGAATCCTGTGTGGTTTTTTTTCTCTGCATCTGTCTTGGAGAATCTGGTAGTGGCTCTTTAATAGCTATAGTAATGATAGACTGAGGGATCATCATAGTAAGATAATTCCTGAATTAATGCAATGTTAGATTCCATATAATTTATAATATTGTCTTCTAAAGAAAAAATCTGTCTTTGTTACAGGTTGTGGAAGTTCTCATTAAAGGAAATCAGCGTTCGTTCTTTGTACCACCAAGTCGAGCTATTGCGCACCAGTTGATAAAACATTGGATTGGAATGAATGCTAATCTTTAATTCAAATAATTGATTTCTTTAATTTAAATTACTTTTTCTAGTGAATGCTAAATTAGGAATAAATTAAAAGGAATTGTTTATCTAGTAAATGTGCAACCACGTGAATTTTTGAGCCTTTCCTTTGGTTCCTGAGCTAAGCTATGCAAACCTTTGTAGGTGTTTTGAGATCTGAGTTAGAACTGAACAACAACCCATTGATTATCCCAAGCAAGCAAGAAACAAATAGGTAAATTGGTACCTTGTTTTGCACAGACTGCTTTTTCATTTTAGAATCAAATTATTATGCCTTTTGCTGTTACGCTCTTAATGTTTGATTTTGTCTTTCCTGTCCCCCACTGGAAGGAGTCACAGCATTACTGGAAGGCCTGACCTTGCTTGCTGTTTGAAGTCTGTATTTACACCCTTCTGTTTTGTCTTCATTGTTTCTTTCTCATTTTTTCCTGTCTCCATTCTTTAAATTCTGCCTGGCACAAAAATCAACACTCAGTGCTGCAAGTCTTATCAACAATGGTTATTTTTAAGCTAATAGCATACTTAAACGGTGAATATGTAGTACTTTGTATCTTTTACATTAACGGCCCTCTAAGCAGAGTATTTACTCCTCCAATCTGATTTGGCCTGCACTTACCCAGTCATACGTCAGCCTGAATTTAAAGGTATAACACAATACTGTGTTTATGAAAAAGGTGTTGGAGAACCATCCCAAAAAGCCTAAATATTAGATATTTTTATAAGATAATAATGTACTTATTGACCCTAGGCAGTGAGTTATTTCATTCTCTGATAATTAGAAATGGAATGTAGAGTAATGGAGGAGAAAAGTAGATTAATTAAACGAGACATAATATCTCAAAATTTGTACAAAGTTCTTTTATGGAAATGGAGACACTAAGATTGTTACTGCTATTAAGAATTTTACACTTGAGAGAAGTATATTACCCCCAGCCGTAAGACTAGGAAAGCAATATATTAATTAAAATATTTAATTATGTATATTTAATGCTACAGTTCAGATCTGTGCCTTAATTCATTGTGTTATTGAAAAGAATGTTAACTTAATATTCTTCCAAAATGAAAGGTTATAAAAGTATACTAGTTTTATTATTAATGTCATTATGTAATGGTTCAGTAGTCTGTGATTATGCAGTGATTGCAGTGATGTAAAAAGAAATGCAAATGACCGGCAGGAAATACAATGATAGTCATAAATATTAACTTACTGTCATATGGTGATTTGTTTATTCAGAGTAATTTGAATATTTTTTAAAATCAAGGAATGATGTCAGATTTGTTTCAAAATTCTCTGCAAACTGGAATCGGTAAAAATATTTTATGAATCCTAATAGTTCTTTTTTCTCCATCCAGTGTCATATTATGCTCAGCAGCTGCTTTTTTTTTTTTTTAAGGCAGTGCATATTAAACTTTAAAGCAAGAAGCATTTCTGACAGACTTGGAACAGCTGACAAATCATTACATTGCTTCATTCTCTCCCTTGTTTCAGCTGTACCTACAAATGAAGAAAATTTGAGCTATCTGGAAATAAGAAGGAAGCAATACACCGTTTCCCTTAAAAATTGCTTTTTCAGAGGAGGGGGAAGTACGAAAAGCTGTCATGGACTACAGCTACCAGCTGTACTGCATGTTGTCAGTGGAATTAATCTTTAGAAAAAATTGTGGGACAGAAGGAGGCCTCGTTGCAGGTTGTTCATACAAGTAAAGGAGAGCTTTGGACGGTATGCAAATAGTGGTGGAAGCTAAGCAATGGAAGGAGTTTTTAACTAGTCATATGATGATTACATATTAAGAAAGATGAACAAGGAAGGAATAAGGAGCAGATGGAAGAGAGAGGACAAAGCAAAGAGCAAATATAGGTAGCATAAAGGTAAATAATTTATCACATTGAGGTAACTAAAAATACATGTATAAGACCTATCCTAATTTAGATTTTCACGTAGCAAATTATGGTGGGTTGCTATGGAGATGGGTTTGTAACTGTGAAGCTCAGAAGAAAGTATCCATAACCAATACTGATATTAAGACTCAGACTATTTTTTAATTGAGAATCTGTATAAACAATATATATCTGCAATTACATTTTACTGCATGAAAAAAGCAGAAAAAGCATCATTCGGAAAAGAAAAGTCTTCAATAATCTCTGATTTTGAGAGTAATATTTTAATTATCTTTCAGTTCTAATAACTTCTGGTGCTGCAACAATTTTTAATATATATAAATTTTCAAAAGCTAAACCAACAGTCCTTTTCAGGTTTTCTTTTTTCCCTCCCCAACAGATGAACCATTCATAGAGAAGATCACAAACACCCATCATTTAAGAAAACTAATTTGATAATTTTGATCTCTTATTTAAAGTGAAACTTCACCTGGCTTTCTGTTGCTTAATTTGACCTGTTTGTAGGTCATAGGATTGAGTTTTAGTTTCAAAATACCTATATATAGAAATTTTCTGAAGGATAGTTATTGTTTGCAGATTACATATGAAATATCTAATTGAAGATTGCTATAGTTATTTAGCAACTAGAGCAATTTAGAAAAGTGCCAAATTAAATTTCGCAACAATTAAATAGAGAGTGTAGTGATTCTGACTGGAATATGGTCAGGGCAACACTTCCATAAGATTTGAGTTGTATGCTTTATCGAAAAGACTGCAGCTTTGCAAGCTTGCCGCTGAATTAATGCAGTACATTAAGAAAATGGGATTCCTTAAACCACTAAAAATAGAAGCGTTTCGTTCACACTGTTTAATAATGATGTCTCACTCTGTTCTCCCTTGCTTCTACAATGCTACCAGAGCAAAAAGGGTATTACAAAAACGGCATTACATGTGGATTTACAAGGCAGAAAATTCTGGAGTTGACTTTTCTCTCCATTTGGCCATATACTAAAGAGAACTAACTTCTATTCAGTATATAATTTGTAAATATTCTGATTTTTTTCTGGTTTTGAAGTTATAATAAATTACAAATAATAGAAATAGCAATTTAATAAAGTGGAAAAAAACAGATGAGGTGGTTAAACACAAAACAAAATTGATACTACTAACCAAGCTGTAAACTCATGTGATGTAATGACATCTCATGTAAGTACAATACTGATTGTGAAATTTTTGCAAACTTTGCATTGGTCCCTGTAAGCATACTTCTTTTATCTCATTTTTCATATTGGATATGTATAAACACGTGAAAAATAAAATCATTCCAGTGTTGATACTATAGCATGAACATTATATTTTGTGTTTTGTGTAGCAATATTGTCAAATTGGTAAATGATTATCTTGAATTCTATAACGTGAAGGAAAAAGGGGTGGATGTCAACGGGCTGATTAAAGGTAGACCAGTCATCATGCTTCATGGAATTAAATATACTAATCAGATTCTGAGCTTAGGAGACAGAAATAGAAAAAGAAGTGGAGCAAGACTGTGAACAACGTTGCTCCCTGTTTTATCTTTAATTTTAATTAGCTAATCTGATTGATTAAGACTTTTCAGACAAACCTGACATTTGGTAAAGCCCCAATAAGTTGACTTGTTATTTTTCTTATCTGTTTTAGCTGTTAAGAGTTAAATAACTAGTAGTCCTTTATTGCTTCAGTGACTGGAAGGATGTGTGCATACAGCATCATTGCTGACTGGGATTGACAGTACAGAAGTGGATAAGTCCAAAGGAGAAAAAAAATTTGAACTTGTTATCCTATTAAGGCTTAGCAAGACAGCCAGTCTATCCTTCATGAGCTTAGAAAAGCAAACTATTCACAGAGAGTCCATAATAGCAAGCATCTGAGGAAAATGAATATTGACTCATAGTAACAGTAAGTATAAACTTTTTCTTTTTAAATGATACCCTGTCCGGTAGTATTCTGTGATACTAATTGTTGTAACTCATCATAGCTTTTATAAAATATGGAATTTCTGCAGGGTTTTTACACAGTAAATAGAGTTTAAGGAATTTTAATTATAGTTCAGTATATAGTTTAGTTTTCTGAATAAATAAGAATGATAGTTTCCTAAATAGAAGGGATTTTTCAGATGGATTCTTGATTGTGAATAAGTAAGACTGTTTTCCTAAATGATAGGGATTTCTAAGATGGATTTTTGATTCCTAAGACTGCATCTGTCATTTTATTTTGGCTTATAGGGACTTAAAGTGTAGTAGCATATAATTTTAGAAGTGAAAGCCTACCTGAATGAACTTCAGTTTGTTATTTGTATTGTTTTTCTGCAACTGGTATTTCAGATGTGGAATGTGAGGAATGCTATGGTAAGACTACAGGATTATTAATCAAGGAGGAGTATTACATATTGTTGAGTAGAGAAGCTTACAGACTCAGTTTGCAGCACTTAAATAAGCCTCGATAGTAGTTTTTTCATCATCCTGCATACTAAGCTACATTTGGTAAAGTACTTTCTTATTTCTCTTTAAGGAGAAAAACATTCTAACACTGGAGCTCTCGCAGTTCAGTGAAGAATATTTTACACACCTGCTAAAATTAAGAAGAGCCTATGAAATATTAAACATCCCATTTTTTTTTGTCATTCTAAACTGAAATTACTTCCTAATTTATGCAGTATAAATTGCTCTTCTGGAGAAAGTGACCCTGGAAACTGCATAGTCAGAAAATATTGTATCCTCAGTTTCCCCGTTTTAGATGCCAGAAATCAAATCCTAGAAGCTGGGATGGGTTTTTTTGCCCTTATTGCATTCCATGAGAAATGAAAGATTTTTCTCACTTAATTGTAATTTATATTTTGTAGTCACAGACATTCTCAAAATAAAAAGCTACCTCATTTTCAAAGCAAATTGTTATAGTGTACAACTGTTGCGCAGGTTTCTGTTGGTGAGCTGAGTTTCAAGTATAATCAAAAATTTTGGATTTATATTGATGGATGAAAAATTCTGAAGCTCAAAAAAGTTGAATGATTTGGCTTGACAAAGAATAGTAGTACTTCATTGACAGTAACATCTTTGACTCTAGGAATTATATT